ATTTAATTAGGAAAAATTAGAAAATTTTGTCTTATAAATTGGTCTTTTAAAATTTTAGATTAAGGTTCAGGGCTTTAATTATGTGTAAAGAAAGATGAAAACTTAATCTCACTATACTCTTGACACATCCGTTTAAACACAATTACCTTAAGTTAATTGTGCGAATTATTTATAGCTTTTAAAAATATTTGTTTTATCCCTTAAATAATAAATATGATTGTTTAGGAAGTAGGAAGAGTAAATTATTAAAACTTTATTTTCGCTTGACCGAAAGAGTTCCGCTTCGTCGTATCCTCCGGTGGAATGAAAAATTGAAAGCTACGTCGTTCTTTAAAAAAAGTTTGTGTGTTGATTTGATTTTAATTTTGAAAATAATTTTTTAGGAAGTTTCGGACAATTAAGCTGTAGCAGCTAAAATAATTTGAAAATAAATTGCATGACTAACAAGCTGTCACAAATCAGCTAATCCCTTTTATAATAATTCTTTTTATTATGATAATTTTACAATGAATTTGGAATCACCAAGCCGTTACGGTTAAAATGAGTCAAAATAAAATATATGATTTTTTTTTGGTAATAAACAAAATATATGAAGTTAACAAGCCGTCACGACTCAGTTAACTCCCAATTTAATTAATAGTTATTCTTTATTTTCTAAATTAACCCAAAACAAATAATTTTTAATAGAAACTATGATATTTACCAAAAATAAAATAAAATAGAAACTATGATTTTTTATTTCTTTTTGCTTATTACTATTAAATGATTTAAAATCATTATACTGTCACAGTAAAAACAATTCTAAAAAATTATGGGATTAGCAAGATGTCACATCTCAGCTAACTCCTCCTCTTACTATAAATATAACATGATTTGTTATTTTTTTTAAAATCAACTACATGATTAAGACTTAAATAATAAGTATGAAACTATGAGGGAGAATATTCTTACTACCAAATTTTTCCACTACCAACTTACTACCTATCTAATTACCATTGGATGAAAGAGAGAGAATGCTAAAAAAATTTTAAAGAAAGAGAAATGTTAATGGAATGATGATTAGATAGATAGTAAGTTGGTAGTAAAAATTTTTAGTAACGAGAATATCTCTCCTCTGAAATTATTTAATAGCATAAAATGAAACAGTTATGAAAACCGCCGTGAATTAAAAACGAATCAGCTAAAGTACTCAAATCATGTTTTTATTCTTTATAAAAAAGAAATAAAAAAATGAATTAAAGATAGTATGCATGGACAGAGACAAAAGATGATATTTGCTATAATAATAAAATATTTGTCTTTCATAAGAATCAAAGGTAGATGGCAACATTGCAAAACTAAAATGTTAAAATTTAAACATCGAAGTGAGACAATATTGCACCGTGAGTATGTATACATAGACCAAGAAAAGCTGAAGTTTAGCTAACCTATAAAACATTGAAATATTCCTTTCACAAAGTGGATGTTAACATTGCATGAAAACATTAAAATATTGGAAGATGGCAACACTGCATCGTAAGTATATGTTCCTTAGTAAATAACATGGCTACATCCGAAAGTGTGCTTCTTGCATGCATGTGCTATTATCCAACTACATTATTATAATCATGCCTTTAGCATTTGACGTTTCTACAAACTAATTATTCTACCTCACATCACAAATACAACAGGAAACACAAGACAAAACTCACGCATCGATATCATTAAGAGGTCTCCACCTCACAGAGGTAACAAATAGAATAGACAAAAATAAAACATGCACTCATACTACATACGGTTGAAATCAAGAGGTGGTAAACTGATATTAATGCGGTTCAACTTGTTTCTGCTACATTTAAACTAACCTGCAGAATATATGTTTAAAGTACACAATCCAAGAAAATCACCTCAACCTTCATCCACAACCATATTCTTTCAAACTTCCGAATCGGCCACGGCGACAAGAGTTCCAACAAAAGCTTAGGCAGTAGCGATATTTTAGTGCAGCACAACCTCCGCTAGTAGAAATATGGACTGCTAACATGAAAAGGAAAGTATTAAAATCATCAACAATGGAAGAAACGCCATGGAAGGTTCACTTATAGAGCCACTCCTATCTTTGTTGCTCTATATTCTCTAGTTAACATGGCTTTTTATTTTTCTCCATCTCTCGTTTTTTTGAAGTGTTCTCTTTTCATAACCTCAAGGACTAGCTAGCCAAACACCTCCTCTTTTTTTCAGCTTCAACTTCATCCCTCTTTACAAAGATCTCATCTTCTATCCTTCTCCCCTCCGCACTACTAGAAAAATCTTGTATAGCGAGAGAATTGTTATATGAAAATTTCGTTGCTAATTTCACCCTCGCTACTATTTTTCCTCGCAAATTCGTTTGCGAAAGAATTTGCGAAGAAAAATAATAGCGAGGATAAAGACGGAATTTGCATAATAATTTTCTTACTATATAGGATTTTTCTAGTAGTAGTTCTGTTAATAATATATATTAATTTTCTATTTTACAACCTGTGCGCCCATCCCTCTTTGAGCCCTGTGTCAATCGTTTTGCAGCAAACCTCAACTTACAAGTAAACTTAAACTTGTACACATAAGTTTTCCCTAACAATTAATGACGACATGACATTTATTTATTTTATTTTTTTATGAATTTTTTTTATATTTGCACATTTGGAATTGAAGTATTGGGGCGGTTTAAAGAATTTGGAATTTTCTTCTTCTTTTTTATTATTTATTTAATAATTTTTTTTTGAATAATAAGGACAAAATTGAGTGTTCACAACATAAAAAGAATTTAGTGTTTCTGCAAACCAAAATGTCATTGGAGAAAAAATAGAAGGTATTTTGAAAAAAAAAATTATTAAAGAGAAGCAAAATTTGAAAAATACTCTGTATTTGTTTTTCAAATTCTAACAAACGTCATTTGAAAATTAGAGAAGATAACTTATTTGTGTCATGAGAAATACTTTTGCAATAAAAGAATTATTAAAATAATTTAATTTAAAAATATTTATTAAAATTATTTATTAAAATCATATAATCATATTACTTTTGATCACTTGTGCACCACAAACATATATAACATGTGTTAGTCACACGTTACATTTGTGTCAAACGTGATCAAATTTTATCATTTTGAATCTTTGATATATAGTTTTAAAATTATATTGTTTTAATTTTTCTTAAGCTATATTAACTAAGGGTTTTATAAAAGTTAGGTCGTAAGAAAAATGATTCTGTTATGTTATAGAGATTCGTTTAGTGTGTCAAAGTTTTTTTTTTTTTTTTTGCTCCAAAAAATGCAGGTTTCACAAAATATTGTGTGTAGAAAACTTTTTTTTGTCATGTTAAATGATAAATGCAAATCCCATCACCTAAACACAAAATATAGTGTTAGATTGTGAGGGTAAAAGCCAGAAGCAGCACTTCTTAAAACTTTGTTTACTATTGCTGCAGACTTAACCTAGAAGCCATGTCTTCCAAGTTTATTTAGGCATCTACTTCACGCTTCGCTCATGATACCGTAACTCAAGTCATATTTCAGCCAAACGAAAAAACGATTTCCCTTCTTGAGAACAAATGAGAAAACAAAACCTTTTTTCAAGAACTTAAAAAAAATTTGGGTCATAAATAGCAATTACCATTTCATGGCAAATAATTTTTGGTCAGTGAGGAGGAAAAAGGGCTGCAGGTTCCCTGTAATAAATCAAGCTCATTCTTTATTCTCATAAGGCAGCATCATGGTGTGTCACAGCTTTGCACTAAAAAAGTTAAATTACCATCGGGTCCTTATACTTATTTTGGATACCAGACTTCAATGCTGTTAATATTGGGCTGACCAAAAGCATTGGTTGCTCATTCCCTTTGTGATTGTTCGGCTGGGCTCCTTGGAGTCTCCTAATTTCAAGAACGTGAAAACTTATCTTACACCGACATCATATCAGACATGAAATATGACACGATATGATATTCAGCATATCATAGTTCTAAAAAATATTAAATTTCGCTACGTTAAAATATATTTTGATATTAAATAATATTTTAATTTAATAGTGTATATTATGTTTAATATTAAATAATTTAACAAAAAATTGAAGTTAAACTTATAATACCGATTAATTTTGTAAAGTCATATAAAATATTTTAAATATTTATATTAAACTCCATAAAATGGTAATCGTAATCTAACGAATCTAATAGTTAGAACTAAAAACATAATATAAGATAACCTTTGAGTTTTTTTTGAATTTCTACAGTGCGTGCTAAAGTGTCAGAAAATATGTCAAGATTTTTAAAATTTCAGTACATTGAAAACAAATCCACAAATCGACGATGAATATCTATATCCTTTTCCAAACAAGTGATCCGTGAAAATATCGAACGAAGACATTTATCATTTAAATCCAAGTGCTTCAAATGTGTTGTATGCTTTGACTATCTTGACTGCTTAATATTTTTTTTTTAATCTATATATGTGTATAATGATGACAATAATGATATTAAAGTTTGAATGTATAAAATCAAGTAAAACTATCAAGCCCTCAAATCATTCATCTCACCCTTTTTAGTTGGTTTGGGTACTATAAAAGCCTGAACCACATTTTGTTTTGGGTGGTCCTTCTCGGATCTGGCTTTGTTTCAAATTCAATTATGGTTAAGGTATACAGTATACTACCAAGGGAACAGAGCGCAACTGCTTTTGTTTGATTTATACAATTAAAATATTAAATAAAATAATTTTCAAATAATTGATTTGATTAGCTCGGGTTAAATTTTTTCAAATAATTTATATTAAAAGATTAAAATTAATTTTAATTTTAGAATAAATAAATTTTTGTTTTAAAATGAAGTTTGAATAAATTTTAAAAAGAATTTTAATAATTATATTAATTAATTATGATATTTTTTTAACTTGTGGGTCAACTCGGCCAACTGCATGCTAGCCATAGGAAACACAATCCGAAAAAAAAAAGCTGAGGAATATTGAACAGGGCATGTCTTCGAAAGAACGAATGGTTTGAGCTGGACCCTAAGATATATTCCCTCTAAACGCTTTCAATCATAGTGCATAAAGAGAGTTGGATGGGGAATTTCGTCAATTTGATACTGTTTCTAGAATAGGGTAGTTCATTAAACTAATCTAAATTACAATGGTAGGAAAATCAGGACAGAGACACACACACAGGAAGATATTTCTAGAGATTCATGATACACTAATTATATGCTGCAAATTGCTGATGATGACGCACACATTGCTTCAAACCACTTCAGCTTAAGATACTTCAGAAGCCTGGTGCAAGCAAATAAGCAAAAATAAAATAAAATAAAATCATGAGTATGTAATTATTCACCGACAAAAAATAGTGGCAAAATGCAGATTGCAGGATCAATTTGGTGTCACAAAAAGAACACCACGTGATTTAGCCAATTGAGAGGGACTCATCATTATGATTGTAAACAAAGTTTTCGGTTCCCTTTTTTTTTTTTTTTTTTTTTTTTTTGGCTTCATAATAATCTAAATACGTTGATGGTTACTTCCTTAGGTCCGAGTCACCCAAGGTTTAGTCATATTCCTAATATTTCGGAGATGGTAATTAATGCAATGTGGCATAAACAAACTTTACAGAGATTCAACAAAGCCTAATAATAAAAATAGATGTAATGGAAACAAATGGGACAGAGGAAAAATTGTTAGAAATAATCAAGTATGTTCCACATCGGTCCACTTATTGTGGTACCATTCTTAACAAAAATAACGAATAGTTGTAATGAAAAATCTTAGAGTTTATAACGAACTTTTTCTATAATAATATTTTCTGGTCAACTTTTTTTGTTCATTTATGGTGACTCGTTTGCTACAAAGTCAACGAAAACCAAAATTATTTGCTACAAAGTCGTCAATAGCAGCTACCTTTTTCCACTTGTGGTGACTCGTTTTTTACAAACATATGGATGTTTGTTGTTCTTTACCTTCAATGTAAATCAATCCCTCTCGGACTCTCGGTTAACATTGAAAGTTTATAGTTGTTAAACCTTAATTACTAAAGAAAGACAAAGAAATGGTGCATGCACGAGGAAGACTAAAATTTCGGAAGGGACAGTGAAAATGTAGTTAATGCAACGATATGTGCCTGTGCCAGTGTACACATAAAAACCCAAAAAAAAAAAAAAAAAAAGTTTTTTTGTTAATAAGCATTACCTCTCTTCTTCATGGACATTGCTGCTAGCTACTTCCATTTGATTTGTAGTTGGGAATGGGAACATGGCCAGACTCTATGTGTTTGAGATCCTCCAAGAGTATCTCATAGTGTCTCTTAACTTCCTCGGCCGATTTACCACCAACTGCTTTGGCTATATTCTGCCACCGATCAGGGGTATCCTTGTCATATTTTGCAAGTGCCTTTTCAAACAGCTTGTTCTGTTTTGGAGTCCAAGAAGAATCAGAAGGCTTTTGTTTGCTGAGTGAGCTTGAGGCCATAAGTATTAGTCTATTCTATTCTATTCTATTCTCTCACAAGGTAATCTTGTTGAATGGTAAGAACCTACTTAGGACTGTAAGCTAGAAAAGGCAGAGAAGGAGAAAAGAAGATAGGAGGCTTTACTTTGAAGGGATAGCTTTGAGCAAGAAAATGCTGTGGGTTCTGTGCTTATAAATGGCTTGAGGATAGTGGGTTGTAGCTAATAAGCGAATCTGAATTGCCAAAAGTTGGAAAGCCCTTGTGGCCCGTGTGCTTTGGAACCACGAAATGAAGCAGGACAAGGTACAGCTACAAGCCAAAGAAAGAGGGGAATCAGTTTCAAATGAATCCGGTTCCAGATTTCAAATCTTTTTTTTCCTTGTCCAGCTTTCTTTTCTTTCTCATTCCAAATAAAACTTATTAATGCTTTGGAATTTTACAACTCTGCTTCTGCTAGACCAAGTATTTTATAATTTATAATCAACTTGACATGTTCGAAGTGAATCAAGAATAGGACAACTTTAGTTAGGTTAGGCGGGTACTAATAATCTTGTTAGCATCGTCACATTATTTTAGAAAGCATCAAGCACAAGCAGGGAGGAGGACCATCATTAGCTCTGAAGTTGAAAAGGAAAGAAAATCATAAATATCTGCAATTAAGCCATATAATTGAGGATGTAGAGCAACAATAAAAGGGTGCATCTGAATTTTTGATGCTAATTTTACCCTTCATTTACTGTAAAGGGTGCATCTGAATTTTTGATGTTAAACGCAAAATATTTCTAAATTTACAAAACTTTTAACTTAAAGTCTCCAATGTCAGGCGAGGTGAACGTTAGGGAATTGTTACTGCCATGTAGTTCAGGCAAACTTTTTTACTTTACTGTAGGTGAAGATTACCAACAATAATAACCATGTAAGTTTTTGTCTATTTAGCCTTCTTTTGGTACATAATGAAGATGGAAGACATCAATTAATATCAATTATTGTGTAAAAAATAAAAAAATAGTGTTCAAGTATATGAATGAATTGTATACAATACATGGCAGGATGCATCAAGTAAGTGGATGAGGCTACTTGTTTCATTGCCTTTTTGATATCACGTCAGTTAGAGTTGAATCTTTGGCGCCAGAGATGAGTGTCATCACTCAAACATCTTAAAAAGTGGTAATCATCAGTCACTAGTGGCGCCATCTGTTGGACAAGGAAGGGTTGAAGGGATAAATTTACTCGACCTCAGCAAAACAATTTTATTTTATTCAGCTCTCAGATCTTTGGAATTGGTTTTTCGGATCTTTGTTCCGAACAACACTCCAAAATATTCTAGCTGGCTACTTGAAACCCGTACTATGGTATCCACAGCTAGTTGTTTGTTTCTGCATGTTTTGATAGTAACAAGGTCCTTCTGCTTTTTATCTCTTCTTGTTGGGTATTCGAGTATGAGCTGATTGGTGAACGAATGAAGTACAAGCGACTAAGTGTTTGATAACTAAAGTAAAAAAAAATAAAAAAAAATGGGTACTAACGATTCCTTTCTTATTTTAGTTAGGTACAATAATCCAGCGGTTCATGATAAATTGATAATGAATCTGATACCCTTTTTTTTTAGTGAGTATGAGTTGAGAGGTGAACTATCAAAAAACATTGATAAGCACCTTACTCTTAAAAACACTACAGCAACTCCCATGATTCGATATTATTAAGGTAAGCTATATTTTCTGACATGGTTATAGAGTTAGGTGAATTTTGATCTTCAGTATGGGTATTGAAGGTCATAAAAAAGGATGGGCATCCTGACTGTAGTTATCTAGTTTTGAAGAATGAAGTACCTTAGAAAAGTCTACGACTCAGGCCCGGTCCCAGTGATGTCTTGCGTAAACCTAACATAGATTTCACGCGGAATCTACATCCGTAGAGATACAGACAGCTAACTCGCAAAAACAGAGGTGATCCTCTGCCATAATAACAAGGCATATTTAGATAAAGGTTTTATTACCAACCAAAATTAATCACATCAGCTCACGTAGCTCCTGCTTCATAGGTGATAGATGGTTTATGTATGCACACAACACAAGTTGGGCATGGATTTCTACTTTTCTAGTATAGCTAACTAAAAGTAAGAGTGGAAAAAGAGACCGCGCGTGGAAGGATGTCAAATAAAAAGCTACAAAAAAAAGGTGTTTTTGCGTTGATAATGTACTTGTGGCGTAAAATTGTTCCTATGGATATGGTGCTTTTCCATGAGATGCGATGATTGAGACATGAAAGTTTAGGCTTGCTCTTGCTAATTAATTTGAATACCGGCATATTAAAGGTATATCGATGCTTGTATTGCATGCAAGGGCCTGGGCTGATGCTGCACTTCACTGAGGACTCCTACATCAATGACATGGCTGTGGCCCACATAAATGATGCGGATCTAGTTATGGGCCTGTCTTGTTAGTGGGCTAAAAGTGGATTCCATCTTCTTCGCCTTGTATACCAAAATGGGCTTTGAGTTTAAGCTTATCAGTCAATGAACTACTTGTCCACTAAACAACCTTAAAATGATAAAAAGGATATCTGGCTCGAAATCGCGAGTTATTTTGTGACGTCCTCCCAAATAGAGGAAGCCTCTCCAGTCTATTTTTTGTGGACAATTTTAAAACGTGCAAATTGTAATTTATACAAATTGTTGGCAGTCTGCATCTTATGGAAATAAGTGATTGGCAAAATGTCAACGTAGAAATCTGGTTATGTTGTACTTCCTTCGATGAGTAGTATGAACCAGAAAGTACAGAGGTACTTAATTTTCTGTGACTTTAATCATTCCACATATAGATTACATTTCCATTATATTGTGGTACTGTTTAATGGTCACTTCAAAATGAGCATCTAATATTAAGAACATGTGGTGTACTTTCCACCAATGGGAGTGGCATACAGATCTTAAATAGAATAACAATCATAACCTTGTACAGCTGGCCCTCAGAAAATCATTTTGACTTTGCTTATACCTAACCAAGCATATTCGTACAATCGAATGACTTTTTCATTCCCATCCTTCCTTCTTATCCTTTACTCCGAAGTCTTAACTACACAAATTTTCAATAGCACATATAACCCTTTTTTATCCTCATCAGTAGTCTCCCCCCAACCCAAATAATTTCATCCTCAGCAGAATTCTACATTATCTTACAAATAGTAGGATATTATTGTGTCTTGAACAGAAAATGTATATTTAAAGTGGTCATGATGCAATAATATTAATCGAAGCCATCATTTAATAATAACTGAAATGGAGAATGTCTTTTTTCTGAGATGGTTACAGCTACAGAATAGAAATCACTGATTTATTCTTGGTTCTAAGGACTGTCAACCAACTACTTGTTGTGCCATTACTCTGAAGGTTACTTAGTTCGGAAAATGGTATTGTAAGGCAAATGAAACATTACATGTGTGTTTGTTGAGGAGCCCCCCACCCCCCGCGCGCGTGATCTAACAGTAAAAGCAACGTGAGGAAATCAATTAAAGAATGACCTCCTCAAGAGAGAAATATGCTTAAAACTCATCAGTTAATTAAACATTTGAATTTGATCATGACGGTTGGCCAGTAAATTAACATGAATAATTGGAATCTAGGGAGATGGATGTATTCCGTGACAGTGACCTATATATTCCTTTCTTGTGATCAATCGTTACCATTGCATCTTATTCCTATTCTTATATATAGTGCTGAAGTTAGAGGAGTCATAAAGATAAAAGAGATATAAAGACACCAATTAAAAGGACTGAAAATATGACTCTGGATGTATTTGTCCAAAACACTAGTTCATCTGAGAAGTGTACATATGTGCACCGCAATTGGATCAATGGGTAAATGCTCTAAAAACTTATAAAGATTCAACTAATGTTGTCACTGTCATGCCTTTAATTAACTGTCAGTATCTTCTCAGACATGTAATGGTATATAGAATTCATGGTGACGCTTTTCAAGTCTTGTTCAGCTTCCTCTTTTGGCAGATGACTGGCATTGAGCCAGATATATCAGGTTGCTACTGCTAGCCATTGGGAGTTTGGGACGTTGATCTCTACTCTTGTGTATGAATTGTTTTTAATTGTTATCTTTTATCAGTTGGAAAATCTACCTAATTTTCATTAGAGTCACAATGCTATAATAATAAATAGTAACTCGTGCACATTTGAGAATTATTGAGGCTGTACTAGAGATCAAAAGAATTATGTTGTCAGAACTAGGCTTGGTGGCTAGCTAGGATCAGCATTCAGCACAAAGTATAGTCTAGATGTAGTTTAATATTGAATATAATATTGTATTTTGAAACAGAAACAAAATAATCAAGGCAGAGTTGCGAAAGCGGGAGAGAATATACAACCATGAAATGACTTTAGGAAGCCATATGGGCATCCTTCAAGGATTTGGCCACAATGGAACTAATAGCATGTATTTATTTTTGTTTATTTCGGAAAAATCCCTTTCCACCCCCCCTTCCTCTTATTTAAGTTAAAGCCTAATTTAGTCCATCCTATTTACACCCTTACATGCGGAATTATCAAAATGATAGTAAAAAATAATACTATTCGACTATTATGGCTACAACTTGTTTATTTTATTATAAAATTAAAACAGTCAAATTCGTTAAATAAAAATAATATTAGTGGATAATATAAAAAAAGTTTTACATTAAAATTATACTGTTTTGTTTAATTGGTGAGCATTATTTTTCTTATATATATATATATATATATATATATATATATATATATATATATGAGTCAAAATCCTTTGATATCGGTATCAAATTTAAAGTTTGACATCTCATCTGAGAGCCGTTAGATAAAAAAAATCAGTGGTGTCACATGCTTACAAATCAGAGTCGTTGATCTTTTTTGATCTAATGGCTCTCACATAAGGTGTCAAATTTTAAATTTGACATCGGTGTCAAATGATCATATATATATATATATATATATATATATATATATATATATATATATAAGAGTCATATCGACAAATCTTTTTTTTTACAAACTTACAAGTTATATTATGTCTTACCGGTAACATTTCATGTAAGAGTGTCTTACTCATAAAATAGTGTAATTTTTAAGAGTTTATAAATATAACTTTACATTGATATATATCAGACATTTTTTTCTACAATAAGCAGCAGAAAAGTAATGTCGCTTCAAAGAAAAAAAATAGGACCCACTATTTTTTTTTTTAAGAATGACACCAAAATTGACGTGAGAGTAACTGCATAAAGCTTTCTAGTGCAGATACAGAAAATGATTTTTGATATATATATATATATATATATATATATATAATGTATTTCTATAATCATTTTAGATAATATTATTCACAATTATTATTTTTTTTTAACTAAGTCTGACCAGTAAGACATAGTTATAACAAGAAACCTATTTTTTTTTCCTTGGACATTGTCGGTGACGTGACGGAGAGAAAAAAATGCAATTTTTATGTCTTACTGCTCAGACTTAATTTTATCTAAAATGACTGTAGAAATGTTTAACTCATATATATATATATATATATATATATATATATATATATATATGAGATATCTTTTGACTTCAGAGTAAGATTTAAAAATTTTACTCTATATTCCAACCGTTGATTTTCTTCCATCTATGATTATAATTTAATGAGTTATAACAATTAATTAATTATTAATTTTAAATAAATAATAACTGTGAGATGTATAGAAATCAATGGCTGAGATGTGAAGTAAGATTTTTAAATCTTACCTCAAACAATCACTTCCCACACATATATATATGGGAAATCATTATCTTAATTTACATGAGATAACTATCTCATGTTGTTCTCACATCAAAAATTGTGTCACCATTTTTCTTTTTTTTACTAGGTGGTGGGCTCCACCACATCATATGTCTATAGTAAGAGATAACTATCTCCTGTAACATGAGAAAATAGAATCCCTATATATATATATATATATATATATATATATATATATATATATATGTATATATATGGGAGATGTTATAGTTACAACCTTTTTTTTACAACCTCTTACAACCATATATCATAACTGTTGATTTCCGCCAATTAACGGTTATGATTTTCACAAATTAAACTCATTAATTAATTATTAATTCATAATAAATGACAACCATGATTGACGGAAATCAACGGTTATGATATATGGTTGTAAGAGGTTGTAAAAAAAAAGTTGTAAGTATAACTTTCCTCTATATATATATATATATAAAGTAGAAGATAAATTATTTATGCAAATAGGATATGATATGAGAAACAGTGACCAAAATGCCAACAGTGTTAAT